ACCCCAGAGACTTTGGATCATTCTGTTTGTAAATACTTCCACATGTCTCTCTGACAGATGAGGACTTATGTTAAAAAATCAAAAAACAAAACTACCTCCAACAAAATCACAGTTGTGATCCTCCTATTACACCTTATACAATTAAGGGCAATTTGTTAATGTCAGTCAATGCCCAGGCTATCTGCAGATTGTATGGATTGTAGAGAAACTAATGATTAGAACAGGGAGATTTCTGCAGGCGGCCAGCAGGTGGAGGGCCCAGGCAGTGGTGGTAGCTGCCCTGGCACACTGATGAACGGAAAGGACATTGATGGAGTTATTACAGGAATGGAGGCGTCCCAGCTCAGTTGAATGAAAGTGACCAAAAGAAGGCTTATTTGCCCAGCCTGAGACTGGGCAAGGGGGAGGTAACAGGAAGGTGATAACATGACAATTACATACCAGGTACCCTGATGGCAGCAGTGTGAAGCAGAGAGAAATGTGCTTTTTTGTGTGTCATGATTTTCCTGCACTGCATTATTCAATTTTGTAGGAAGTGATTAAAGTTAAATTGGTTGAATTCTTGGGGACAAGTAGCCTTACCTCCCAGAATTCACCACTGACTTGGGAGGATAGATTTAGCTCCACCTAGTGGTGATAGAGTTTATTACAGTATTACAAGGAGAATCACCACCCCCCCCCCGCCCACCCCCACAGTCCCCACCCTCTCAAGCTGGATCCTTTGCTGAGCAGCCTTTGGAGGTCAGGGATGTGGGACCAGGAGAGAGGTGCAGAAGCTCTCTCTGCATCTGGATAGTTAGGACTCAAGCAGCCCGTGAGCACCTATATGACATTTGCTTTGGGGTAGCAGGTGCTCATAGGGAATAATCACCGTAGTGCTTGGTATGTGAATTGCTGCAACTTTTTTACACAGCACATTACCTATATGCAATTAAAAGAAAACTTAAAAAAACGGTTTATACCTTAATTAAATAGTTGGCCTCCTAGGCACTTATCCTAAGGAAGTAATGATAGCATTTTTAATAGGAATGAAAACTTGGAATTAATGTAAATTCCCATTACAGGATTGATTAAATACGAAACCACAGCCCTGGGATGGATGTATGAGGGGAACTGAAAGGGGTTAGAGGTTAAAAGTAAGCTGCTAGAACTGGATATTCCGGGGTTCAGTCTGAGGCTCAGAATTGGGTCCAAGTAGTTGCCTTTTTTAAATCCCTAGAATACTGGCATTTTAATCTCCTTCAGGGAGGAGATTTCTTCATGGCCAGTCTGGTTCCCGGTTGTGTTAGCTGAGTCCCCACAGCTTTGGATAAATGCAAAAGCTCTGTAGGGGGAAGGAAAGTGGAAATTTGTAGCCTTTGGGGGGTATCATCTGGGCCAGGCAAGCCGTCTTCATTGAATATCCTAAAATTTAGGTTTTATGTTGTAGTATTCGAAGATTTTGCTGCCTCTGCATTCTAATTGAACTTGCTGTTCTCCAGCCCCCGGGCTGTTTTCTTTCATGGGTCCAGGAGATTTACAAGAGTTAGTGGCTCACTTATTATTTTGCACCTGTGTGCTGGTGAGGTCACTTCTTCACCACCTCTTTGTGTCTGCTCCTGAGGCTTTTTGTTCTTTCAGACATGTTCACCTGACCTTGCCCATCCAACCACACATCCATCCAGGAGCACATTTGCTTGTGTTTTTCATGAAGATGGAGGCTTTAGAGTATTAGAAACCCAGATCGCCTTAGTCAAAGTTGAATGTACGAGTCATGTTTCATCCCCTTTGCCTGTGAATGTTTGGGACTTCAGGGCGCAGAGAAGAAAATGATAAAGTTACTTTATTTTACAGTTTCCTTTTTCTTAAGGGATTCTGAAATTTCTAGGACTGTGAAGAAGCTGTTTTGAACTGGTGGCAAATGTTTCAGACACAGTCAGTGTCTGGAGAGCATAGCTTGGCTGTCCCCTTGAAAAGCAGGCATCAGGTTAGGGTTCATGTCAGTTTTCCAAAGTCTGTTTATTGGGAACTTGATGCTGCAGCTTATGAGCTGTGTGGGGACATTCCTGAGCCTCTGTGTCCTTGTCCCTAAAGCAGTGACAATATATGACTTGTAGAGATGTCGTACGGATTAAACATAATGATCAGAGGAGGAGGATTGTTTGCCCAAGCTGCCATGATTTGAGCACTTTCTGCATCCCAGGTGCTGCGTTCAGCACATAACCTCATTTCCCACAGTCCCTCATGGAAGCCCTGTGCAGCAGATACTATTATTATTCCCATTTCATGGATAGGGAGGCACAGAAGAGGGTAAGCAAGTGGCCCAAGATCACCCAGGCGGAATGAGAGGCTGAGGGAGGTGAGTAACCCTGGCAGGCTGACATGACCACTGTGCCCACTGGCTGCTTTATGCTAACAGATGTGACCAACTAGCCTAGGGCAGAGGGTGGCAAACTGTGGCCTATAGGGCAGATTTGGCCCACCACTTGTGTTTGTAAACAAAGTTTTATTGGAATGCAGTCACACCCGTTTGCCTGCTATCATTTGTGGCTGTTTGTGCACTGTAATAGCAGAGTTTTGAGTGGTTGCGACAGAACCTCAAGTACTCCCTCTCTCATTGCATAGAGAACATACTTGCCCAGCCTTGGCCGAGGGCTGTGCCCAGAATGAGGTCTCAGCTCGTGGCTCTTGACACCCCTTCTCCTGGGTTCTACACTCTAGCCTTAATGGAGTCCTCTCCACTGCTCCTGCCCCAGGGCCTTTGCACATGCTGCTGCTCTATCTGAAACACCTCTCTTGACTACAAATGAATTCAATGCTGGGTGATGTCTTGGATGGCAACTGGGTGGACCCTGAGAGGAAGAATTTTGTTAGTTTTCTTTTTCGTGACTTGTAGTTCTTTTTGTCATTTTAAGGAACTTTGGGCTCAGGATCTGAACAAAGTCCGTGAGCGGATGACAAAGTTCATCGATGACACCATGCGGGAAACTGCCGAGCCTTTCCTGTTCGTGGATGAGGTGAGGGGGCTGGGGCCTTGTGGAGCAGTGCTGAGTTTTTGATTCATACTGTGTCTTCCAAGGTTTATTTTCTATTCCTCTGCCATTGGAGGGCTTTGCTGTTATAGAGGCTTCTGACCATCTGTGTTAGTGGGGATATTTTTCCCCATCCCTGGTTTCTGTCTACTCCACGCTTTGATTCTTTGTTATTGACTGCTGTGTTGCCTGGGTAGGTTTATTGATTTCGTCACTAGAGGGCATCAGCCACCAGGGAGAGTCAAACCATTCAGCCCAGAAACGCAATCCAAAGATGCTGGGTGTCTGCAAGCAGCTGAAGTGGTTGAATGTGACCTTGCATGGGGGAGGTGGGACTGAGGGAAACTGGGGAGCACCTGCCCATGTGAGTTTGCTCCCAGGCAGCAGAACGCAGCCTCAGGTCCCTCAAGCATCTTGATTTTTCTTTTGTTTAAGGGGCTGGGAGTTGGGGTATGAAATTTCCTGCCTTTTCAACATCCTAATATTGATAATCTTCTGCTTTTTAAGTTGGGAAGCAGGCTCATAAATGTTCATGCCACTGTGATGCCCTAAATTGTGTATATGGTAAGCGTAAAAACTCTTGTGGTAGCAAATATTTAAACAGGGAAATACCGTCTAGGTCTGTGAAACACGTGCGTCCCTGTAGCCCGTTGCAGTCTGAGCCTCCTGCCTTGAAAATGTGTGGCACTGAGGTCTGGAGACCATCTTCTGACTTCACGTCTCAGAGATACTCTTTCCCGTGTGGGCGCAGATCGGAAACAACCAAATGCCATCCCACCTGTCAGCGCGATGATCCCATCTTTGTGTTTGACTGTTCTAGTTCCTCACCTACCTGTTCTCACGAGAAAACAGCATCTGGGATGAGAAGTATGATGTGGTGGACATGCAGGACATGAACAACCCCTTGTCCCATTACTGGATTTCCTCATCACACAACACGTGAGTCTCACCAGGTGCCTGTGAGGGGCTGGGCAGGACCGAGAGGGACTGGGTGGCTGTGCTGATGCGCTGCTCTGGCAAGACGTGTGTGAACCGGGCGAGAGCACAGTGCCATGTCCCTCAGACTAGAATACTCAAAAGCTTCTGGGAGAGGTGGTGGAATGAACTTTTCTTGCCTGGCTGACATTGCAATGAATATGCTTGTTCTGAGTAGCCCTATAAAGCTTGTCAGAGAACCTTTGTTTTTTCACAGTTAAAGCATCTCATAGTGGCTATAGCAAAGTAATTCAGTGAGTCATTGAACTGACACTTGCAGAGTGTCTGCTTTGTGCCAGGCCCTGTGCCTGGTGGCTGTTGGGGACACAGCAGTGAGCAAACAGGAGCCCCATCCTCATAGTCAAGGCCTCTATCAAGTGTTAACTAGGAACAGGAGTCACTGATGGGAGAACAAGTGGTGAGGTGAGAATTGTTTCAGATAGAGCAGCAGCATGTGCAAAGGCCCTGGGGCAGGAGCAGTGGAGAGGACTCCATTAAAACTGGAGTGTAGAACCCAGGAGAGGTGAGGAGGCCCTTGGGATCAGCTTGAGCAGGGTCTTAGAAGTCATAGTGGCTTTTTTTTTTTTTTTGAGACAGGGTCTCACTCTGTCACCTAGGCTGGAGTACAGTGGTGTGATCACAACTCACTGCAGCCCCAATCTCTTGGGCTCAAGTAATCCTACTGCTTCAGCCTTCTGGGTAGCTGAGCCTATAGGCATGCACCACCATACCTGTCTAATTTACTTTTATTTTGAATTTTTTTGTAGAGATGGGGTCTTGCAATGTTGCCCAGGCTAGTCTCAAACCCTGCCATCAAGCAGTCCTCCTGCCTTAGCCTCTCAGAGTGCTGGGATAACAGGTGTGAGCCACTGTGCCCTTCCTGCTGATGGATTTTAACCAGAGAGTGACGTATTCAAATTGACCTCTTTGGGTGATTAACGTGATAGTAAAAAGGCAGTAAATTGATAGGGAGAAAAAAATGTTGCATTGAAGCTCCAGTATTTTTTTTTTTTTTTT